AGGGGAGGGGTGGGGGAGAAAAGAGGCAAATGAGTTGAGCTGAAGGAGGCGGGGGAGCTGTGAAAGGCATCTCATAAAAGTCCCATTTGTTGGAAGGCTGCAGGAAGTGGAGGCAGCTTTGGCACACGTGTCCGTGGTGCTAAATTAACTGTTAACACAAATAATCAAAGTGCAAGGCCCATCAAGCCGCTGGCGCCAGTGAAATGAGGGAGCGGCCAGGTCAGCGCTGCCTCTGGAGTGAGCCGGGCTAGCAGGTGGAGACCAAGCAGGGACCCGACAGGATGGAAGTGCTTACAGAACACACTGACCCACTGACAGAGGGAAACAAGGCTGCACGCTTGCTTTCCAGCTATTGTGTGCATTTTAATTTTGTATCTATTTATTATGTTTTGTGTAAATTTTTTTTCCTATTTTATTTATTCTTAAAAAAAAAATAAAAAATTTCTTTCACCACACTGGAGTGCTTGGACACCCCAGGCTGAGTTGTAGTACAGTTCAGCCTTTATTTGGCAGCATTGGTGGAGAAACAAATGAACAGGACAAAGGAATAGTTTAGGCACAAAAGCACTGACTGCCCTCCAGCACTACCCTTCAGAAGGAAAACCTGCTCTTTAGAATGAGATATGAAAAACAGTGTGGGCAGGGGTATTTCCACCTGGTTTGTTCTCTCTCACTGTCAGAGAGTCCACAGCCCTACTCTGTACTGTAAGTATGATGCAGATACTTCAGAAGTGTCACGGTGTTGCAGCCACCCCAGCATGGAAGCAGACAGACCCACCATGGTGGCACTTGCTCCAAGTAGGATTAGACTTGGAAGCAAGCAGGACTTCTCCAGCAATCAGTCTGAACATGCTAAGGTTCACTGAAGGTCTCAGAGGATCTCACTGTTTTGTGCTGTGAAAACACAAATTCTTCCAACTATTGCCCAGGTCTAATCTCAAGGAGATGCTCGCTGGAAAGGATACCTGGGGAGCAGCTTCCCCCACACTGAAACAGCAGGAGTTCTGTGCTGATTTCATTAGCTGCTTCATTCAGCTCCCTGACACAAGACAGCTGTAAACCCACTTTAACTGCCCAGTAAAGCCAGGTTTACAATTACTTTGCATGACCAAAGCAATCACAGTACAATGTTGAATCAGGCCCTGAAATTACTGGGATCTTTTGTCTCCTTGCCAAGGTACAACACACAGAGCTACACACTATAATGAATCACATATATATACATGTGCTATGTACATACGTATTTACATCACACACTTTGGTCTTGTGTAGCTTTTGCTGGATATCCATGCATTCTCTACAGATACGGTTGTGGGCACTTATATTTTACGAAAAAAAAAAATAAAACTCACTTTCAGTTATAAGGTGTTACAATAGAAAACGTGGGTCATTGCTTAGCATAAATTCTGCTCCAGAAAACATTCTGAATCAAATTACTTTTAATCATAATTACTTACGATAGATAATGAATAATATGGTACAGAAAGGTATCATGTCATAGAATCATAGAATGGTTTGGGTTGTAAGGGACCTTAAAAGTCATCTAGTTCAAACCCCCCTGCCATGGGCAGGAACACCTTCCACTAGACCAGGTTGCTCAAAGCCCCATCCAACCTGACATGGAACACTCCCAGGGATGAGGCATCCATAGCTTCTCTGGGCAACCAGTTCCAGACTTGGAACTTCACCCTCACAGTGAAGAATTTTTTCTTAATATCCAATCTAAACTAATCCTCTTTCAGTTTAAAGCCATTCTCCTTTGTATCACTTTTAAGAAGTCACTCTCCAGCTCACCTGCAAGGCTCCTTTAGGTACTGTAAGACCACAATAAGGTCTCCCAGCAGCCTTCTCTTCTTAAGGCTGATCAACCTCAATTCTTTCAAGCTTTCCTCATAGGAAAGGTGCTCCAGCCCTATGATCATCTTCATGGCCCTCCTCTGGACTCACACCAACAGGTCCATGTCATTTCAGTGAGGATACACGTCTTCTGAGCGCCTAAACTTTAATTATGTCTTTAATTCATACCTGAAAGTATAAAATTACCATGTATCTTTAAAAAAAATCTTCTTATTTTTTTTCTCAGCTCTCTTTCAGAGAGCAAAATGCCCAAGAAAAATATGGAGAATATGGATGTTTAATACTCTTATCATAGGGCATAGTTGTTGCTTTTAGTGAAGAATTTCCTAATAACTAAAATTAAAAACAAAAATCATCATTAAGTGTGGTGGAAATATTCACACATCTCACAGAAACAATGTTTTAACGAGGTTTAAATCTATAAAAATAATATGTAATCTTCCCTATATTCCATAGGGTTACTTTGACATTTATCAGATATGAACTCTGGTAAATCCAAAGATGTACCACAGTACTAACAGTAATTCAGACCAGCACCTTTAGTAATAGAGATCATCCTTGGTTAATGTTGTAAACTTTAACTTATCTATAGCCAGCTGCATGATCTGTATGAAGAACATTCAGGAACATTAGCAGCCGATGTTTGATGTGATCCAAGGAGCAGTTATAAAGATAATTTGCTCTCAAGTCAGATTTGTATAGTTTTTCACAGGGCAGGAAAATATAAGATCTCGCAGGAAAATAATTGGTCAGAGACACAGAGACAGAAAAACAGAGAAAGAAACAAAGCAAGAGGAAATAATACTGTCATAGGCCAAAATTACTTGTTATTACCTTCTGCCCCCTTCTTGATAAGGGTTAAACCAACTTCAGTGAAACCTTCCATGTGTAAAAGTCAGCTTGACAGACAGAAGTTTTCTATAAGGGGAATAGACTTAAGTTACAAAAAAACTGAGAGCTGTGACTTACACCAGAGGTTGGATGGCCTCTGCTGTAAGTGGTTTATCAGATTTACCTCTATGGACATGCTATGGACCCCTTTAAAGATCCTGATGTGAGTGGTTGATGGGTGGGAGGTTGAGTGCATGCATGTGTCATGGCAGATGGCAAGTGCTATCACAGCTACCAAATTAATGGGAAAGTTACAATTGCTTTGAAAAATGGAAGCCAAGCACTTCCTGAGTAGGCATGAGAATCTCTGTTAATTGAATAAGAAATTAAAAGAAAAGCCCATTAAACATAATGTGTATATTTAAGAGGCCCTTTTCTGACCATAAGCCAAATTAGAGAAAGAATGTCATTGTTACAGTTTGATAAAAACTATTGGAATATGAAGAAACCAAGTCAGGAAAACAAAGTTCCAGACATATAAAGATGAGATCGCTCTAAACACATCAAGACTGAGTAAGAGCAAACTTGGCTCCTGTCCTAAAACTCATAAATCCAGTCAAAATTTGTTTCTGGAGTTTTCAGGGTATATTATAGATAGTGCTAGCTGTATAATGTTAGGCATTGTTGGTTGAATGGTTACCCCTTTCCCAATACACCCATTTATGAAGACACCCCAGCCTTGTTCCCTGTGGTCAAACCTTGGGGTAGGGCTCTCCACAGCACTTGTCTCCTCTGTATCTTCTGCTGCTTGTGCAACCTGCTGAAGCATGACACTGCTTCACTTTGGCCTGGGTTTTCTTCTGATATTCTGGCTTGAGTACACCAATCCAACAATAATTTGGGCCATAACTGGGACAAAATCCTGTGAGAAAAGATGGGCATGGAGGCAAGAAGATTTCCTGTTAAGTGTCACTGTTAAGTGATGTGACATACATTCCTTTGACCCTGCTGCTGATTTACACCAGTGTGGTATAAGAATGACACCCCCTGCCCTCCTTTAGTGTTTATATTTCTAAATTGTTTGTCCCTTCAACTGTCAGGAAGGAATTCCTCCTCCCCACTGCTCAAAGCAAAGACAACAAAAACTAGGCCCTCACTTCAGTGTGAGAGAAGTGGAAAAAAAAAATCCAGCTTTTCTTTACAAGGACTTTAGAAAACATAACTCAGGAGATTGCTGTAGATCCAGACTGGGAAGAAAACATATCACTCTTTAACACATAGTAAAAAATGTCTTCTAGTCTGAAAGAATAAAGGTTAAATAAAAGGGTAAAGTGAGCCTGGGCCCATTTGAAAACCTTAGCCTGGGATTCATAGGGGTTTTTTAATAACTATTACCTAAATATCAAGAAATCTCCACCAACATCTGTAGAGAAAAATAATATAAATTATCATTTGATCATTTCTTCTGTTCTAAACAGGACTCAAAATATCCTCAATAGGAAATATCAATGGAGCAAGGCATCCAAAACAATAATAAATAAGGAAGAAAGAAGCAGAAAGAAGAAACAAAGAAGACACAAAGTGGGAAGGCACAAAGTATTCTGTGCAGGAGCACATTCTTTCCACTCCTCATTGTTGACTTAAATAATTTCTCTGTACCTTTTACAGTATCAGCTCTAAATTCTCGAGAATGCAGGGCTGTAACCGGAGAACACACAATGTAATGTGGCCAGTTCATTTGGAAACAATCTCTGATTTGGCCCTTATCTTCTACACCAGTAATGAATACCTAATCTGTGCAAGATGAGTCTCATGTCCCATATGACACCAGCACTGTGTAATGTCCATCCCCATTGAAAGCCCTTAGGTCCCTTAGCAACCAAGTTCCTGAAGCATAGGCGTGCATGGGCTGCAGAATTAGCACAATCTGGGATAAAGGCCATTTACCAAAACACTTGCTGGAGAGTAGTATCTTTCTGCTGATAATTTCTGTATTTAATTTCCTTTAGTCCTTCTCCAGACAGTATCACTGAAGCTTCTTCTTCTACAGGATACTACAAGACCTGTGGCCTCCTGCTACAAATGAGTGGATGCACCACCACATTCCCCAAAATTCATGTATGTTGAAATTGGAAGTTCTCATACTTAATCCTTTCACTCAACTCCTCCAAACAAATGTCAGTTCATACAACACACCATCCAAGGCAAAGAGATTTCCAGATCTAGTTCCAAGGAAATTTTTGCCAGTACACCTCTACCATTCCAGAAATGGAGAAGCAGAGCAGTCAGAACCTTTAGCTGATACAGAGAGAAGCAAAAGCTGAAGTGAGATGGCTGCTCAAAAGGCAGCTTCTGTCCCAGCACAGAGAGAGATGGTTACACCCCATGGTACACTCACTTAAGTTCTTATTTTCCCAGGTCCTGCCAGACTGTGAACTGCATTTCTTAGCGAAGGCTTGAAAATTGTTTGCATTTGACTCACAGGAAAACACAGGGGAATGGATTTGTTGAAGCTTTCCCCTTGTTCTGAAATGGATTGACAAGAACAGGCTACAATTTTCAAAAAATTACCATTTCCAGCTCAGCCCCATACCAGTACACACATGAATAATGAACTTGATTTAACTTTGACTTCTTGTATCTTCAGCAGAAGTCCAAATAAAAAATGATCACTGAGAATGGTTACTAAGACTTTGTTTTCCAGAGTTGAGAAACATGGCTAGTCTTCTGGCAATTTCAGAAAGGCTGACTACAAACCACCATTTTTTAAGTTTCTTTCTTCAAAACTGGCAGTTCTCTAACTAGTGACAAGCAAATCCAAGAACTGCCTGTTTCATAACCTAGGTGTCCACCTACACTAACCTAATGTGGTTTGCTGTCTTTGGTTTCCAGGCTACATGTGATCCTAGACTAACACAATAGGCAGTACTTAATATTGCCCAAGTGGCCTTAAATAATCCTTTCATTTTCAGTTGCCATTAATCCATGAAAGAAAAGAAGAGGCTGCCTGAACTAGCACTTTCTCAGTTTGTTCTATCATGAACTGGTTTTTCTCAATGGAATTGTACACAAGCGGTAAAGATAAGCATGCCAGGAGACGAGGAGGGGAAAAGAAACAGGCTTTTTTCTCCTGAGGGGTTTTACTCTTTCCTCATCATTTTCTGCATGATATAGCTCCTCTTTTCATTGCCCAACAGGGAATCCCAGAGGCCAGAGGAAAATTTTCCCTTTAGTCTTGGAGCATTCATGATGGATTCTTGTTTTAAGAAGAGGTTATTAGTTGTTTGCTCTTGAGTATTATATCATCACCATTACAGCAAAGCGGGTCTCATTCTAAATTTCGTTTATTCTTTGGCACTCACAAGATATCTTGGGTTACACAGCTAACATCCCTTTATGTGCCAAAGTCAATGAAACCCTTTCCATTGGCTCCAATGGTGGCAGAGGAAAAGTTGCAAAGGTGCTGAAAAAATGATCTCTTTAGGGCTTAATTCTGTTTCCACTGGTAAAATTCCCTCTGACTTTGACAAGAGTTACTTTAAGTCCACTGATTTAAATAGCTTTTTAGAAATCATGAAACTATTCAGCTATCATATAAACCTCTGCTTGATAAGAAATGTTCACATACCTTGAGGTCTGTTTATATTGTACCTTGTTAATAGAAGCTATCATTTAAAAACGTCTTGGCTACTGTTTACATTTTCACTACTTACACCATAGTCCATATAAGTTCCTGTAGAAATAGCAAAAGATGCAATATTTAAAAGAGATCTCCAACTAGAAACCGTATCTAGTTCAATTTTTAAAATACCATTCCATTTCCATGTTCCTAATAAATAATGGAACATTGTTAATCCTGATCAGAAATTTAACCACTGAGGGCTTATAGCTGCGTATCATCTTCTACAGACATCTTTAGCCCCATTTTTATCTGTTTCACAGTTTGGGAAAGTATAACCTAGTCTCCTCTCAGCACTTAACTTCCCAAGGCTCATACAGCAAGCAGAATATTCCTTTGATGCTTCTCCAGCTTTGTAATAACATTGATGTGCAGGAAAAGATCCATTATTCAAAAAGACACTGTAGTAGCCATATGCATGTATTAAACATGATTTTCCTTTTTTCAGTAAGTCTTTGCTTAATAAATTAAGACATTTAATCACACACACAGAAAATCAATCTTCCATATACTTAAGGTCTGGATAGGAAGAGCTTTCCTCCTTGTTTTCTTTTTTTTGTTGTTGTGCCTAAAGGATTGTTCTCCCCATTCCAAAATAGTTTGTGTTATCATGTATTAACTTCAAGAAACTATAACCAGAAAACTCTCCATGTTCAAAGAAGAAAAAAGGCACCTTTTATCTTAACTGTTCCACACATACTTTTAATTCTGAGCCTGTCATCATTGCTGGCTAAACCTTCATAGATGCCAGAGTACTAGCAATGTACTACACTATGGTAATGAGCTTCAAAAAGTAAGTTACCAAATATCTGCTTACAGATGTCAGTATTGAAGAGTTTGAAAACTCAGTGTTACCTGAGACTTCTCAGAATACCAGTTTTAACATTTCCACTCTCCATTGCTTTGTCATCTCTATTAGCTCTTGAAACAGAGTGTAAGAACTCTAATTCAAATGATCAGGTTTAATTTGTGAAGAGTTTCAGCTCCAAACACAGTAAAAACCAACCTGGTTTCAAATTGTTTCAAAATTGCTCTGATAAAATTAACTCTCCCTTCAGTTCTGGTCCCACCACCACCCTCTTGGACTGGAAATTCTCACATTCCAATACTTTAATTCAGAGCTCACAAAAGAAGAGAAATGAGCAATATAACTTCACACAGATATTTCAACAGCTATTTTAAGATGTTCTACACATCTCTAGGTTGGCCACTTGCAGCATGAATGATCTAGCTATGCCAGTTACTTATATAGATTGTTGAAATGTATTAACCACCCCTAATTTTTGCAGGGAATGTCAAGTATTGATGCCTGATACTTGGGAATAAGTGTTTCCACAGAGAAGGGTTTTGCAGTACCTTTGAATTTTCTCTTCAAGGTTAGCAGGATGATGTTGTTAAGGGAAATCAGTGTTCTGTTGTGCATAACAAAGCACTCCCATCTGCTTTCTCCGTTTTTGCACAGTATTCCTGTTCTTACACAGGTAATGCATACTTGCAGGAGCCGCCAGCCAAATATGCCTTGCGTGTTTACATCCCAGAGGATGTTCAGACAAAATTTTAAAATGTGAGCACCTGCCACTACACACAACCAAAAAAAAAAAAAAAATAATCAGCTTTTGAACACCTACTGAAGTGTTGGGATCATCAGAGATGCCAACAAGCAATCACAAGGTTACATCTTACACTCCTCCTTGGGCTGTGAGACAACCCCATGCTCTTGTGCTGTCTTCTACCCATGTGCTAAGGCAAAGCAGCAGCACTGGCACAAAGGCCTGCAAAGGCAGAACTAACAGCAGCCTCCAGGGCAATCGGGATGGCACCACAGCAGAACAGCAGGTGTTCAGCTTTTCTTCTCCCACCCCACCACAAAAGCTCAATTTCTGTCTTTATTAATTTATTTTTTTTTATGAGTTAGTCATGCTTCATCTTGACTTTGTGTTTGTTTGTTTTGAGGAAGAACAAGGCAACAGCCTTGTCAGGGCTTCAAATACTGCTGTTATATGCCACAAGTGGGAAGGATTTGGTTAGTCACTTGGAGAGGGAGCTGCCTGGGAGGAGGGCAGGCAAGAGGGAATACAAACAGGAGAGAGAAGCAGGATGGTTGCCTCTGGGCCCCTCGAGGCTTTTACACAAGCTCCTCTTCTCTCTAAGTACCATGACCTTCTCTGGGTATTAAAGAGGGTTGTTTTGTTTTCTTCGAGCTAGGATGATTCCTGCCACGTATTTGATATTAGAATTCCTCT